TAGTAGTAAGTAGTGAATAGTAGTAGTATCGTAGCAGCAGAGTAGCAGCAGTCAGTAGTAGTAATAATAGTCAGTAGTAACATTAGTATATAGCTTTTTAGTATAGTAGTATTAGTAGTATTAAGTAGTGGTAGTAGTAGTAAGTAAAAGTATACATTAGTAGTAGTAGTAGTAGTCAGTAGCACAAGCAGCCCAGTAGCCTAGTAGTAAGTAGTCGTAGTGGTGGTAGTAGTAGTAGTATGAGTAGTATTGAGTAGTAGTAGTAGTAGTAGTAGTAGTGGTAATAGTAGTGGTAGTAGTGGTAGTAGTAGTAGCAGTAGTAGTAGTAGTAGCAGTAGTAGTAGTAGTAGTAGTAGTGGTAGTAGTAGTAGTAGTAGTAGTGGTAGTAGTAGTAGAAGTAGTAGTACTAGTAGTATTAGTATTAGTATTAGTAGTAGTAATAGTAGTCGTCGTCGTCGTCGTCGTCGTCGTCGTCGTCGTCGTCGCCGTAGTATTAGTAGTAGTAGTAGTAGCAGTAGTAGTAGTAGTAGTAGTAGTAGTAGTAGTAGTAGAAGTAGTAGTAGTAGTAGTAGTAGTAGTAGTTGTTGTTGTTGTTGTTGTAATGGTAGTGGTAGCGTTAGTGGCAATAGTTAAAAATAGTCGCACGAATCAGAATGGTAGTGGTAGTGTTGGTCGAGAAATGTTAGCAGCAGCAATAACAGTAGTAGTCGTAGTAGTAGAAGTAGTAGTAGTTCCCAACCATCCTGTGGTGTTGGGCCCTCGTGTTGAAGAGACGGTGCCCCGCGTCTCCATGTCCTTCCGCTGCCCACTTTCCTCCTCCCCCAACCATGCCATCACGAAGGCACCATTGGGGCAGGTTGCATGCGCCCCCACACACACACACACACACACACACACACACACACACACAGGACAGCGCTTCGTGGCCCCATAGGCAGCTCCACAGAAGTCAAGCTCCCAGTGGCGCAGGTTGCACGCGTCCCCCCACCCAGGTCAGCGTTTCGTGGCCCCACAGGGAACTCCACCGAAGGTCCCAATGGCGCAGGTTGCATGCGCCTCCCAGCCCCCCCCCCATGCATGACAGCGCTTCGTGGCCCCATAGGGAGCTCCACCGAAGGTCCCAATGGCGCAGGTTGCATGCGTCCCCCCACCCCCCCACCCAGGACAACGTTTCGTGGCCCCACAGGGAGCTCCACCGAATGCCCCAGTGGCGCAGGTTGCATGCGTCCCCCCCATCCAGGACATCGCTTCGTGGCCCCATAAGGGGCTCCACCGAAGGCCCCAGTGGCGCAGGTTGCATGCGTCCCCCCATCCAGGACAGCGTTTCGTGGCCCCACAGGGAGCTCCACCGAAGGTCCCAGTGGCGCAGGTTGCATGCGTCACCCCCATCCAGGACAGCGCTTCGTGGCCCCATAGGGAGCTCCACCGAAGGTCCCGGTGGCGCAGGTTGCATGCGCCCCCCCCGCCCACCCACCCAGGACAGCGCTTCGTGGCCCCATAGGGACCTCCACCGAAGGCCCCAGTGGCGCATGGTTGCATGCGCCACCCACCCCCACACACACAGACAGCGCTTCGTGACCCCGTAGGGGCTTCACCGAGATCCGGTTCGCAGGTTGCATGCGTCCCCCCCCCCCATCCAGGACAGCGCTTCGTGGCCCCATAGGGAGCTCCTCCGAAGGTCCTAGTGACGCAGGTTGCATGCGTCCCCCCCCACCACCACCGCCCAGGACAACGCTTCGTGGCCCCATAGGGAGCTCCACCGAAGGTCCCAGTGGCGCAGGTTGCATGCGTCCCCCCCACCCACGACAGCGCTTTTCTAAAGGGATCTAGCTTTGAAGGGACGCCGGGGGGGAGCGACAGCTCGAACGAGTTAAACAAGTGAGAGCACTATCGCACATGTTTTTCCTCGGACTTCCGTGCCGCGACAAGAACTGTTTCAACGAGAAATGGCGAGCAACCTCGCAGTGGCCGAAGTTATTGACAGGCCTCGCACTCGCGCTCCACGAGCGCGAATCTAGACAGTCATGCACGGCCACGGGGAGGGGGGGAGCACAGGGTGGGTATGGGAGGGAAGACTATGAGCAACCCTCTGTCCCTGCTGAGCTCCTCCCCCGAAAAACCCCGTTGAGACAACACTCATTTTCTAAAGGGATCTAGCTTTGAAGGGACGCCGGGGGGGAGCGACAGCTCGAACGAGTTAAACAAGTGAGAGCACTATCGCACATGTTTTTCCTCGGACTCCTGCCGCACAAGAAACTGTTTCACGAGAAATGCGAGCAACCTCGCAGTGGCCGAAGTTATTGACAGGCCTCGCACTCGCGCTCCACGAGCGCGAATCTAGACAGTCATGCACGGCCACTCCCGGAATCCTGGAAGGGGTCCTTCAGGACACTTGAGGCGGGCAAAGCGAGAAAGGGGGGGCGGAGAGGGTAAAAGCGAGGCCCGCCTCCGAACTAAACAGAAACCCAAGCACTCACAGCTTTCAGCTCAGGACCGCGGCCTCTTGGGCCGCTCACCGAGGTCATGGTACTTCTGGCTACCTAGCTCCTTCAGGTTCTCAGGGGTTCTCGCGAGGGCTGTGGCGTACTCGTGGGTCTTGGAATATCTCTGAACACTCGTATCTACTCTCCAACGGCCTCGTTTCTGAACTTCTTTTAGAGTGCGGTAACCGATCCAAACGTCGAAGGAGGGCCCCGTGTGTCGAATATTGTGAGGTCGGCCCACGATCTCTGCAACGCCAAGTTCCGCACACGCTCGATACCACATATTTCGGAATCTGACCTGGCTGATGGGGAAAATGCGATCGTCCTTTTTCTTGCCCTGGATACGGTTGAGAAGCATCCTCTGGGTCCCGGGGTAGTCAATCAAAACGCCCTGGTCTTGCCCTGTCTTGACCCGCTCGCCGCGCTCCTGGACGCCCAGCCGGATCGCGGTCACGCCGTCGGCCGAGACGACGTCCGAAACCCTCATCAGCTCCCAGTCCTGCTCCCTGAGGTAGCAGTCGAAGGCGAGCAGAGCGGCGTCCGCTGCTGTGAGGCCGTCCTCGCCGTAGTGAGACATCTGGTCCACGATCTCCATCAGCAGCGGGACGCCGATGGGCGAGCCTTGCACCGTGGGGCGGAGACCCTCCCAGGCCTTCAGGGCGCGGTAGGCCTCCGGGAGGCGAAGCGCTGGGTACATGGCCAGCATGCCCGAGGTCAAGCTCTTGCCCTCACCGACGCCGATCTCGTCGTCGAAGCACAGGACGTCCAGGTAGACACTGATCGCCTTATCCAGGCGGCAGCTCGGGTAGATCTCGACCTCCTGCTCCTCTGCCCAGTTGCAGAACTTCCTGCAGGCCCTCATGTACTGGCGCGCCGTCGCGTCCATCTGCGCGTGCACCAGCAGCCTCGGGGGGCAGCCGCCGCTCAGCAGGTCGCTCTTGTGGCCCTCGAAGAAGTCGGTGCCCGAGGTCTGCCAGGCGTGCAGGCCACGGCGCTGTATCTTCGGGAGCGCCGCAGCTGGCGGGGCCCGCCTGGCAGTGGATCTGACGCCCTCCACCTGAAACAGTATGATCGCCATCATCAGCCCCAGCATGGGTCCCGACCTCGTCGTAGCACTCGGTCGTCCATGAGGTTCCGTCATGTCTGCCCAATCACAGGCGCCGTCACCCGCACTCCATCCACGAACACGCCATGACGAGCAGGTGGCCGTAGGCGCTCGGTGATCTCCTTCGGCGCCTGGCCCTTGCGGTAGCCCCTGCTCGGCCCGTCTGCGTGGTTCCGCCCGCTCGACACCCACCTCGGATAGATCGTTGACCCGCAGCCGAGGGTGTAGGCGGCGAGGCGGCGGAGGAGAGCGTTCAAAGACTTGGACCTGCTCCTGCCCTTCGAGACCGCGCCGATCGCCACCATCGAGTCCGTGATCACGAGGAGGCGCCTGTCCCAGGCCGACCTCCTCTTCAGGGTGGTCTGGACGTAGAGCATGAGAGCGCGCAGCTCGAGGACGTTCTGGTGCTCCGAACGCGTCCACCTGACCCTCAGGAGCTCGCTCCAGCGCTCCAGCGGGTCCCAGCTGGGCCCGACCTCCGGTGCTCGAATCTGCGCGGAGAGGTCGTCCCCCGCCGTAGCGAAGGCGGCCAGGCGGACCGCCACCTCGTCGCTCAGGGACTGCATCGGCTTCCGTGACCCGGGCACAACCAGGTCGAGCGCCTCGAGGTGGTGAAAGGCCAGCTTCTCTGACAGCTGGCTCGGGTAGTTCTGCGCGAGCGAGGTCCGGAATCTGCCGTCTGGAAGCTTTCCCTGCAGAGGCGGGTGCCAGCCGTGGTCGCACCTGCGGCCGTCGAGCGCCCGGACCAACGTCGGGATGCTGCTGGACACTGTAGTTGGCTTCCGTGATGCCAGACCCTCCCGACACTGGTCGAACGACGCCCTCGAGGCCTGCTGAGCCTCGCCAGGCACGCCCAGCAGCTCGCGGTCGCTGACGTTGGGGTCCCTGGCCTCCCTGATCTTTTCCCAGAAGTCCCTCTTGGCAGCCTCGAAGCCGTTGGAGCCGCGGGCGAAGGCCATGTTCTCCAGAGCCATGGTGACCGCAAGGATCCAGATGCTCGGGTACGGCTCCTGCCCAGGGTCCTCGGGGTGCTCCAGGGAGTAGAGGCCCCCGCCGATGACTACGCAGCCCAGGAACTCGAGCGTCGCGACGAACAGCTCCCAGCCCACCATCACCTGTGCCCGGTGAGTCGTCGAGAGCCCTGCCAAACCCCTGGGGCGCGTCCGGCTCCTCAGGGGAGGGGGGCCCTGGCATGCCCGATTGTGCCGAGCGCGGGCAAAGGTCCCGCACGGCGGGCCCGCGTGGGCAGTCTGGAACTGGCCCTCCAGCGCGCGGCGGCACAGGGCCTGCACCTTCTTGCGGTCGAGCAGGTCGTGGTCGCAGTGGAGCACCTTGTCGATCGACTCCACGACTAGCCATCGGTCCCGCTCCTGCGCCATCCTGGTCAGGTGGTCCTCGAAGTCGAGGGGTCGGCGGTGCCCCGCAAACAGGTGGGCCGTGCGGTTCACCTCGGTGCCCGGAATCATGGGCCTCATAGACCTCCTCACCTCGGGCTCGTCGGACGCGTCGCGCCCGTTGTCGATGTCCGCCGGGTCCTCCTCGTCGCCGCTGCTGTCCTCGCCTAGGAGATCCGCCTGCTCGGCGAACCAACCCTTCGGCGCCGCGAGTCGGGCCTCCTTCCTCAGCTCGTCGATCCCGGAGGGGGTGACCAGGACGCCCGCTCCGAAGAAGCTCGCGTCCGTCATGCCCGCCTGCTCCAGCCAGGGCCGCCCCAGTCGGGCGAAAAGCAGGGGCCTGATAGCGACCATAGTCATCAGCTCGCCTTTCAGCCCGGGCCACATCGTCACGTCCTCGCCGTCCTTGAACTTCTGTATAGCCTTGTAGACCGCGTCGAAGACGGAGAGGGTGGGTCGCTGAACGAGCGCGAACCACGTCCAGGTCGAGACCAAAGTCATCAGGTCCCGCACCTTGATCGTCCTTCGGCGGCAGGCCTCCACCGTGGCTTCTACCAGCATGTCCATTTTTTCGGGGTCGGGCTCCACGAACATGTCCCCGTCCTCGGTGCCGGAAAGAAGCCAGCCCAGCGTCTTGACCTGTTTCCCGAACTCCTCCTTGTGAACAGGCAAGCCCCGCGCCTTCAGCCGCGACGTCACGTCGCCCCTGGCCTTGGCGAGGCCGACGCGCCCGTCGGCACCGAAGGCCTCTGCCGTCGCCTCCGGAGCGTCGAGCACCAGCAGGCCGCAATCGTCGATGTACTGCCAGTGGACGGGCTCGCTCGGGCGGATCCCCGGGACGGGTAGGCCGTACGCCAGCCGATTTCGCTCGTGCAGCCATCCTCCAGCCCCCTGCAGGCAATCCTCCAGGCAGATCTGCGCCAAGTAGACCGCCCAGCAGAAGCCCATGACCAGTGCCCGCACGACCATGTGGGCCTTGGTCTCGTCGAACGGGACCTGCAGCCCTCGCGCCCTCATCTCCTCCGCCACCTCCGCGGGGGATACGCCCGGCACCACGAAGTGCTCCGCGACCTCCAGCGGAAGCAGCAGCCTGTAGTAGTAGTCGGGGATGTCGCCGACCGCGGCCAGCACCTGGTAGCCCTCGGCGATCTCCTTGCTCGCGTCGACGAAGCCGAGTGCCGTCCCGGCTCCGAGGGAGCACCAGGGCGGCCGCCGCCACTTCAGGTTCTCGAGGCGCTCGTCGAACACCAGTCGGGAGCTGCGCTTGGGCTGGGCGCCCTCCGCCAAGGTCCACTTCTTGACGACCGTGAAGAGCGCCACCTCCCCCTTGCAGACATCCGACGTGTCCATCATGCCGCCCGCAGCCATGCGGCCGACCAACCTGACCATGTTCTTCTTGACTCTCAGGAGAGGGTCGGTGTACGGCTTGATGTCCGACGCCCCCTCCGCCATCTCGTCCCTCAGCATCGTGCCCCGGTAGTCCGACAGCAGGGCGGCGGCCCGTGGCGAGATATCCTCGATCCTCAGGCCCGTCGTCCCCACCGGCGGCAGCGAGATCTCGTCCACGACCGCGGGGCAGATGTCTCCTCTCTTTGCTAGTGTTGGCGGGGCGGTGGGGGTCGCCCCCACAGGGTAGGGGCCGCTTCCGCTGGCGGCGCCTCCCGTGAGCCGCTCGAATGCGACTCGCCCCACTGGACGGTCCGCGGCAGGCAGTCGCCGTCGGACAGCACGCAGAATCCTCTGAGCCAACCCAGCCGCCAGCGACCTCCCGTTGAGACGATGGGGAGACAAACCCCTCGGGACCGAAGGCCGCGTCTCCAGGACCTCGCTCGAGACGAACCCCGAGGCCAGGCAGCGGAGCGCCACCAAGCAGTGGTTGGCCCGATCGATCTCCCGCAGGCGCGCCCGATCTCGGCTCCGATTCCTCGCCCCGGAGTCGGTCGCAGGATACTCGATCAGCTTCAGGGCCCTGAGCGGGTCGCCGACCTCTGTCTGCTCGGCCATCACGGTGGTGAGGACGTGCTTCAGGATCAATGCGCTCCACGTTGGAAACTCGCTCCGACGACCACCCACGAGGCACGTCGCCGGGCTTGGCAAAAACTCGGTCGCCCCCGATCTGCGTTGAGGCGTGGAGCGACCTGGAAGAAAGCGCCCAGGACGGCGCCCCCTCTAGCCGTTGATCGGGTCGACCGCTGGCGACCTCTCCCCGACCTTCAGCTTCAGCTTCATGAAGTCGGCGTCTCTGGCCATCCCGGTCTTCAGCTCCTCGCGCACCTCCCTCATGTACTCCCCGCGGGCCGCGTCGGACACGCTGGCTGGGTCGATGCGGTGGATCATGTCCCAGTCCACCTTCGACGTCCACTCCTTCTTGCCCGACGGCCTCTTCCAGTCGCTCTCGCAGCGCACAAGCTCGAAGCCAGTCTCGATCGCGTAGGCCTTCCTCGCCAGGTACTCCAGGCTCACGAGGTTCACCAGGTCGGGGGTGCGGTCCTCCAGCAGCAGCCTGTCGATGCAGGCCAGCGCGTCGACCATGCCCTTGGCGGCGCCGCACGCCTCCAGCTGGCGGTCGCGAAGGAACTGCTGAGCGTACTCCTTGCCCGTCCGCGGCGCGCTGTACACCTTGGTCAGGTACTCGGGCACGACCCGCTGGCGGTAGCCGTCGGGCATGTGCCACTGGCTCGGCTCGATCTCGCGATACTCCTTCAGCGCCTCCATCCAGGCCTGCTGCGGGTTGATATTCAGGCGCTCGAGGTGGGAGATCATGTTGGCGACGCGCCCCGGGGAGCTCGCGGCCACCCCGATTGGCGGCTGCGGCACGGGCGGCGGACTGGCCGCGGGCGCCTGGCGCCCAGGGCCAGCCACAGGCGCGGGGGAGGCCCACGTCGATCTGGGCAGAGTGGAAGGGCCCCGAGCGTCCGTGAGCGCGAGCTCCCGCCCCGATGACGTCGGCGTGAGAACCTCCCAGGAGGCACTCGTGGCTGCAGGCGAGGAGTCCGGCGGCACCGTCACCTTGCCGTCCCGCACCAGCTGCTCGAAGTAGTCGATCCGTCGCCTGAGGTCCTCCACCGACTTCGGCCCCGGACCGTTCTCGGCGTCGACGCCCTGCACCGATCGGAGAAGGCGGTCCTGACGAGCACGTCCCTCCACAGCTTCGACGGTCTCCTGGAGCTTGGACTGACCCTCCGCCAGTATCTTCAGCGCGCTGGCGACCTCCTGCTTCCACGGGGCCTCCGAGTCCTCGTCCTGGAAATCCTCGAAAGTGACGCGGCCGCTGGTGGTTGGCGACGGCGGCTCCGACTCCGCGTCCGAAGCCAGCTCCTCCGTCAGCGCGTCCCTCACTTCCTCCCAGAAGTACGAGACGAGGGCCGCGATGGTCATGAACGAGATGACGGTCATCTTGAACTCCCACATCGTGATCTGGTAGCCACTGTACTCGTTGAAGTCGTCGATCCACCCTTGCACAGCCTCGTGCAGCTGCTGGTACATGTCCATCATGGAGCTGAACACCCAGGCCGTCGTGCTGCCAGCCTGCATGAGCGCACGACACCAGGCGATCAGGCCCGAGCGCTCCATCACGTAGTATATGAAGTAGATGGTGATGAGGATGCCCGCCGAACGCCACCAGGAGCCCACCGACCAGTGCCCTAAGGCGACGATGCCCGCGGGCAGCAGGGCGACCGTCTGCACGACCCGCTGGAGCCGCGCCGCCACTCCCTGCTGCTTCCGGTACCTGTCCAGCTCGGCGGTGTCGGGCATCGAGGCCGCGTTGGCGATCATGTCGCGGCTCGTGTCCTCGGCGGCGCGCTTCTGGGCGGCGGTGAGCGCGGGCATAGGTTCCCACCAGACGCCCGACTTGGCGGGCTTGGTGGGCGTGATCGTGGCCCTCCCAGCGTTCAGGCGAATCGTCGTGACCCGACCTCCAGGTAGGACGCACGTCCACAAGCCCGTTTTCCCCGGCACACGGTGGAGCAGCCGCACCTCTCGTCCACGACCCTCGCTGTGGCGGTGGAACCGCTTGTCCCATGTCTTCGGCGGGGGCATAGACGTCGCCTCGTCGGCGACCACCTGGTGGCGAGACGGGCGCGGCTCGAATGGCGGCCAACCCGTCGAGAGGACGGACGCGAGCCAGAGCCCTGGGAGAACGAGAGAACGCGCCGTCCTGAGCACCCTCTGGCTCGAGCGAGCTCGAGCCATAAAGACTATGAGCAACCCTCTGTCCCTGCTCAGTTCCTCCCCCGAAAAACCCCGTTGAGACAACACTCATTCGTGGCCCCATAGGGAGCTCCACCAAAGGTCACAGTGGCGCAGGTTGCATGCGTCCCCCCACACAGGACAGCGTTTCGCGACCCCATAGGGAGCTCCACCGAAGGCCCCAGTGACAAAGGTTGCATGCGCCCCCCCCCCCCATCCAGAACACCGCTTCGTGGCCCCATAGGGAGCTCCACCGAAGGCCCCAGTGGCGCAGGTTGCATGCGCCCCCCCACCCACCCAGGACAGCGCCTCGTGGCCCCATAGGGACCTCCACCGAAGGCCCGAGTGACGCAGGTTGCACGCGTCCCCTCCCACCCAGGACAGCGCTTCGTGGCCCCATTGGGATCCATCCACCGAAGGCCCCAGTGGCGCAGGACGCATGCGCCCCTCCCACCCAGGACAGCGCTTCGTGGCCCCATAGGGAGCCCCACCGAAGGTCCCAGTGGCGCAGGGTGCATGCGCCCCCCCCCACCCACCCACCAAGGAACAGGCAACTGTGTTCGTGGCGCCATAAAGATTTCCACCGAAGGTCCCAATGCGCAGATGGGTATGCACCCCTCCCCCCCAAGACAGCGCTCCGTGGCGGCCATAAGGAGGCCGCACCGAAGTCCCAGGGCGCATGAGGAAGGCGTCCCCCCTCCACCCCCTCCCCCCCCGTGGCGCAGGTTGCACGCGCCCCCCTCCCCCCCCGCCTCCCCCCCCGGAGAAATGCAGACAGCGAGGGTCATCCTCGTGGTCCCATAGGGAGCTCCACCGAAGCTCTCACTGGCTGCCCAGTAACAGGTCTCAAGATGCGCTGATGCTGATGTGGTGGCTCGCACCAGTGAGCCCTCCTCCTCCGCCAGCCACCTCCTGCCCGCGCTGCCCTGTGCCTCGTGCATGCAGTGGCGCGATGCCTAT